ACCAGTGCAACCTGTGAGCACTCATGGTCTCACTATGCAGTCCCAGGGGACTATTGCATGTATCTTGGTGTTCTGGGGGGGCAACAGGATCCGGTGGACGATAATTAGAACAGGTGCATCCGGCCTCTATGGAGACGACAGTTTTTAGCACGAGAGAAGTCTCGCACGGTGGAAAAACGTGCTCAGCTTGCAGTGCTATCGCTGTTCCTAATATCACGTTTTTATCCCGGCACTTTTGGCTTCCTCCCACAGTAGTTACCCGGCTGCACAGATTAATCATTGACTTTGAATGGAACGTTCATGATGGAAAGCGGTCCCGGCCGTTGGTTTCTTCGAGACAGATCCTTCGCCTAGCTCTTCTTTACAAATATCCGTCCCTGGTATGTCGGGCGCTGGAACCTGGGTCTTTGGGTGCGTAATCATCGAAGGTCCACCAATTGCAAGACTGACTTCTCACAAGTGAAGGAACATCGCTTCAGCAGTTTTATACAGGCATGGAATGTGAGGAGCAACCAGTCTCGTCGACAGCGGCATGCAATATAGCCGCGTCAACAGCCAGTAAGTCTCTTGTCCACTTTGTCGCGCATCCGGTGCTCACGCGCGTTTTCCACCTGTGGGCCAGCTGTCGACGGTGACGGCCACGACGAAGGGAAACTAAAACAGATTATCTCCCGGCAGCGCTGTACCGAAGGAGCCAGAATACTGGCTGAACGAGTTGCAAAGACGGAATTTTACGTAAAATTGGAAGGTATACCATTAATCACGTGGAGATATATTCGACGAATACGACCGTCTCCTTTTACAAACGCTCAGACGCTATATCATATGTAAAGTAAAGGCTTTCAGCTTTAGAATCGGGCGAAGAAAGATATGTCGTGTCCCGTCCCTGAGTGTGCGAACAATGTTCCAGTTCTAGTAAGCCATATCGTTTGGACATTCCCTAGCGCATGTCGACACTGGGAGTTTCTACTTGATCGGTAGAGATGGATGGGTATTTTCCAGGATGCGGACTTGCATGTCTGGGTGTTTAGACTGGAGCCCGAGGATTCTGCCTAACGCAATAAGATGTTATCAAGAAATCTATGGACACAGGCGCTAATTTATCGAAAGTTTAGGCTGCGGTCTTCAGGGTAGCTCGTGAGCTGTGGGGTTTTGTCGAATCAACGACACTTCATGCTATCTGGGTAGAACGTCTCCGCCGTACGGAAGACTCATCTCTATCACACCGGGTGCACACGGCCAGTGCCAAAACTATCTTTCATCGGTCGATTCGAAGGTCCCGCGAATCAACTTACCAGACCGTCATGGGGGAAGACGGGCAATTGTTTGCGCATGCTCGATCGGCCTAGGCTGACACCTTCTTTGGCCAAGACGGACCTCCTTCGTTGCAATCACGGCCTATCGAACGGTGCATAGGAGTGCTATACCTCCTATTTTTTTATGGATGATCTTGCAAAAATACAGGTCCTGGCGAAGCTGGATCTTGCATTGTCTAAATCCTTGTTTCGACGCACGCCGCATGCGGTTTATAGGTATTTAGCATGTTCTATGGCTCTGACGATACCACTGACAATATCGCTATTACGGGGGGCTCGTACACGGTCTTCGGCAAGCAAAGCCTAACGACCACTCACGCCTGCATGTCATTGGGGACAGAGAGATTGAGCTTTCGCAACTCCGAACACGTCACCCTTTACGCAAGCAGAACTTCGTGCGGTTATTCACAGAGGTAAGATTTATAGCTAACGACATAAATGTCTCGAGCTGGGGCCATTATTATCGCATCTACAACAAAATGGCGGATCTACTAGCGAATATATTATGGACACAGGAGCTTCGGTTTAAAAGCCCGCTACTTCTAATTCAGGTACGTTCCAGGACGCTACGATCTTCTTCTATTCTGATGTCAATCATTGGTTGGACACCTCTCAGGACGAACAACACGTAATACAGGGGGCCCGTACTGTCAACGAGGAGCCTTTTTATCCTGAGACATAAGTCCGCGCGCAGGCGCTGTTCGAAACCTAGTGCTACCCAGTATATAAAGTATCGGTCGCCACGGTAACTTTGTTGCCGGGTGACAGGCTATAGCAGGACGTACGCGTACCTAGATATACCTCGCCTTCTGACTCACTTGATGCTCCATGTATCGTATAATTGACTGCGCAAACAGCGGTCCGGTTTGTAAAGGCGATGCTGTCTGCAGGGACCTCGTCAGGTGAGGCCCATGAGATCGGATTATCCAGCGTGCTCAGAAGCGGCTTGTTACAAGTCGGAGGTGTCGTTTTTATATTCGTGACTGTGCGTTGCGTGAACACGGGAACTTCTAGGCAGATTCGTGTCTGCCAATATATTAGGGCGTGCGTGTGGGTCAGTACAACCTCCTGACAATTTGTCTTCGAAAGCTCCTGAACTTGCTCTTCTTTATCGATTTTGAGAGGTCAGTCGCAGTGTGAAGTTAGTGCTGCTGTAGGGTCACGACCAGGTGCTGCGTTTCTTTTCTCTCGTCATTCTCTACAACACGTCGAAGCCACCAACGTGTTGCTTCCTCGTTATACAAAATTCAGCAAGCCTATTGTCCGTACACCTCACGACAACAACAATTTCACATATACAAAGACCCACGGTTCTGGACGACGTTGTCTAATGTTTATTGCACTGAACAATTTAAACATAGACAAAGCTCCAGATCTTCATCCTCTTTCTTACGATCTAGGAATATTGTCATTACAACCAATTAATTATATTTTTTACATATAAAATATTAATTATTATCAATTTGTAAGAATTTTTACGGAGGTATTCATGAATATCAATTTAAAAAATATGTTTGAAAGTATCAACAAACGATAACACAATAACTGTATTTCGACTTTTTCTTGTCTTATTATAAAGTCGTTTCGATATTAAATTAGCTCGACTAAAATTAGGAAAACCCATTTTCCAAGCAAATCAATTGATAAGGTTTCCTTTTTGTCTCTAATTGACAAAGGACACGCCAACTTCTTGTGCTTGAAGTGACTTGTGTCATTGGAGCAACATAGACGATCGCTGATCCACGTCACTTGCACGACAGATTTGAATTGCTGCTGCCTGACAACTGATATTGCTTAAGCGGAAAATGGCGATGCTCGCTAATCTTGTTTGTCGCGATCGTTGCCTATCGCATAGAAATCTCTAGTCGTGTCGTTCTAAGTTTTGTCTATACGAGAGGTTCACGAGCCACAAACGTAACGTGCGATCGTCCATTACACGCGCGTCATACAACTGACTACACATGCAGCACTTGGCTGTTGAGAAGTGCCCATCCTTGCACTTACTCTGACAGACGACACTTCGCACGCCACCTTCCCGTGCTTCAATCAAATAGTGCTCAATGGAACGATGAGGTGATGGCTTGTCGACCGTTCCACTTGCAGCACAGGTCAATCGTTGCAAACACGTGCAACGGAAGCTGGAGATCTGCTCAGGCAGACCCCTCTCGAGAGTCTACACCATGCTTGATGAGCGAATGGGCTGCCGGGCAAACGAAATCGCTCACTTGTTTTATGTCGCTCTTTGTGCAAGTGCAGCATCGCGTCGCTCACTATCTCGTCAAGACGATCGGAACTGCATCTGAACTCTTTAGCGGTAGTTTGGGCCTCTACAACAGCTGGAAGAATCGGTCCATTGCCACCGAACGATGTGTCGGCAGCTCTCAGCCTCATATTGCGCTACAGATGTTGCCCAGTCACCGATTGGGAGGGCGGTGTTCATGCATGTGTGACCGACTGCGGCTACTTCTCGTCTCGTTTGTGCACTGCAGATGCTATCCAGGCATCCATAGAAAAGACCATCTCTACGGAGCTCCACTTCCAAATTTGCGCCTTCAGACAACAACGACCAAGCGACAGAGACCTCCACAGGGCCGGACAACCGGCCCCTTTCCTGGGCGGGAAGTCCCGTATAGTGGGGCCCAGGTCAAAAGGGGGAGGCCTTCTAGTCGCTGCGTGCGCTACGAAAGGCAACGCAGCGTGCGAACCGTAAGGGGAGCAACAACCTTGACACCCCGGGGTGAGGGCGCGGCGCCAGCGGTTGTCAACCTCTCACCTAGTTCCTGCTATTCTTCTACGTCAGCCTTCCAGTTGCCATCCAGTCGCCGAGCATGATTCCCGGTCCACGTAGCGAACTTGCCTAGAACGTGAATTGATCGGCCCCGTTCAGGTGCGTCAGCGGCCACCGGAGGTGATCGGTTTGGTACCCGGCGTTTTCTGCGACTTCAGCGCCCTGTTAGCACCCAAAGCTGGATCCCGATTCCACGTGCCCTGGGCGGAGTGTCCCCCGTGATATTTCGCAGTATTGAGCCAAGCAGACTAAGCCAGCGAGGAGGAGTATGGTGTAGTCTAGGTAGAAGCACACCGATTTCGTATAGTTTTCAACACTTAATCGACGTCCAGGTTTCTCTCTCTCTCGACGAAACCGCACTTTCGGCTCTGTCGACATACTCAACTGCATACTAAAGCAAACATACGTGCGTTGCCCATTGCTACTTCAGAACATACGTCAGACAACAGAAACCACGTGTCGATTGCAGCGATCGGACTGCACGACGGACGACGGCCACAATGCGTCTGACGTTTCCACAGCTCCTACTTCACGCCATTCCCACATTTGCTCTGCCTCCATCACTTCTCAAGTTCTACTCGCGAGCAATGCGTCTTCTCCACGCGGTGCTCCTTTCTATCGCCATTGTCTTGGCACTCAATGTGGATCTGCTGCAAGCCCGCGCACTCGGTGACGACTCGTCCGATGTCTCTGCTGGCGACGTCCATCCATCGTACGCAACCGACCCAAACGAAGAAAACCGCTTCTTTTCAAATTTCTTCGCTCGTATCAAGAGCTTCTTCAGCAAATCGTCTTCATCTTCAAAGACTGCTTCGCAAGCGACAAAGGCCCAAGCTGCCCAACGTGTCGATGACATAGCAGATGTGAAGAGTACAGAGGTGTCACCCAACAAAATAATGGATGACTGGAAGGCATCGGGCTTTAAAGGTGTCTTCAAAAATGATGAGGAACTTACGCGCCTGTCCTACGCTGTCATTGCTCAAGGTCGATCTGGGTCGTCGTACAAGAGTGGGTACGACGCTCTTGTGACACGATTTGAACTCAAGGATTTCGCGGTGATGTTCAAAATGATTGCGAAGCATGGCAATGCTGACGCTGATAAATTTGGCAAGGATTTTCTACGAAAAATTATCAGCGCGTGGGAGCGGCAAAAAAAGAACAAAGGGATTGTCCCGGACGCTCTACGTGGTGAATATGCCGACGTCGTGGCGAAATTGAGCAAGGTTGTGTGAGGCACCGTTGGCAGGCGAAACAATTGCGATAAAACGCATACCTGCGTAGTTTAGAACTTGTTATTATTGAATGACGTACACAAGCCTTTGCACAATTACAAACATTGGTCCGTTCGACTTGTTTACATGTATTATGTTTATCTGTCATCTGTCTTTGGATCTCAGCTTAGGTAGTCAAGTCAGGTATCGATTACTTATTTCAAAGCCCTTTCAAACCTTTCACGTTGCCTCTGCATGTATCCCATCCAACGACTCCGTATTAACGATGCAAGAAAGACAGCTTATGTAACTGGGTAGCCCGTTACATGAAATTGTCATTAAAACAATTTGACAATAAAGAATATCACGTCGAATATTCTTTTAACAATAATACAAGACATGGTGATATTGTTGGGATGACCGAAGGGTCTACACATTGGTTGATATCGCGATGATATCAACCCACCAATCGCTGCTAGACGCGCGCAATGGGTGGTGAGTAGACGTCATCATACATATAGTTATATTAGTATAATTAAGTCAGGACAACAGAGATTCAAGGAGTTTAGGACTTAATTATATTAAATAACAGGTTTTACTTTTACCAAGAGACTAGTTTGACTACTTAGTCTCCTTTCCTTCCTCGTTGTTCCTTAAACACCTAGCACGGCACTGTTGACCACTGTCGTCAGTGGAAGTATACTCCGTACTGGTCAACCAGTACGTAGTCAACAGTGCCCCGTTACACCTGGTAGCACTTTGTAGTCTGTCCAAGGACCAAAACCTTATCGCCCAACATGAACATGTTGGACGATGTAGACGGCGACGGCTTTCACGGAACCCGTGAAAGCTACTCCCATTCGAGCGACATTGAATGGAGTGCGATCGAACGAATGAGTTCGGCCGTTGGCGAGGAAGCCATCTGGGCCATGCTATCCTTAAGAGATAGGGACCAGCAACATGCCGTCATCGGCAAGTTCATGCAACGAGAACTTGATATGTCGCGAGCGAGCGTGACCTTGTTACAACAACAAGATCACCAGCGAACCGAAGCACTGAGACAACAACAGTCTCAGTCCGCTGAGCCGACGCGTGAGCGTCGACGGAAGTCTCTAAAACTAGAGGTCTCCAAGTATCGGAGAGTCGAGAACGACTCCCTGTTAAGATGGTTCGTCGAGCTGGACGACGGTGTCATCGAGGCCCGTCGCATCGACTATGAGCGAATGCAAGTCGCAGGTACTCAGTCTAACCTGGCAGGAGAAGCCAGAGCTTGGGCCCTGAACCTCAAGTTGCACGAGCCAAATGTGTTTGGGTCGTTACAGAATCTGCAAGACCCTACTCAGCGAAACGTTTGAGCCGCCCAGAGCAGAGTTCAGGACTCTTTCGGAGCTCCTGCAAATCAAGCAGGGTAAGCGTAAGGTTCACGCTTACGCTCAACATGTACGCTACCTTGCAAGCTGCATGGTAGCAAACCCTGGGAGTGAATTTGAGTTGATCACAATACTCATTCAATGACTTTCAGACGGTCCCGTCAGGGACCACCTGTTTCGCGGAGAGCTAAAGACGCTCTCAGAGGCAATATTCGCAGCGGAACAATAAGATTATAGCATGAAGTAGTCCCACGCTACGTTGACCCCGCATCGTCCACAGAGACGATTAGCAGTCGGAGGTCCAGAACCAATGGACCTCTGTCAAGTCGAGGGCGAGAAACCTCGCCCTATGAACGACAAGCGAATGGTGAGATGCCATCGCTGTCACAAGTTGGGACATTATGCATATGAATGCAATGTCCCCCGCTCAGGACCTCGCGGTGCTGAGCGAGGTATTCACCCACCAGCAAGAAGAACTGGAGGGTGAAGGTCCGTTGCTGTTGCGAAGTCGCAACAGCGAGGTGGACCATCAAAAAACGGTCGGGATCAGTAGGGCGCTCCTCCCTACTGATCCATCAACATCAAGAGAATTTGCAAATCTCCTAAATAAGGTTGCCCCCGACACACAATTTCTGTGTGTCTTTGCACCTGGTGATGAGGTGTCTCTCATCACCTTAAAGTTAGAAGTGATGGCACTTAGCGCCCTAGTTGACTGTGGGGCGTCGAACAATTTTGTTGGTCGCCAGTCGCTAGAGGCAGGAAGTTTTAACTTCGCGGATCGGGAGATCCCTCCAACGAAGATGACGGTGCGCCTAGCGACAGGCGCATCGATCACTGTGAAGAAACGTGTAGTCGGAATCCACTATACGTTAAAAGGCTAACAGTACGATGATGATTTCATCGTGCTTGACCTAGATGACAAGCTCGACGTCATCTTGGGGTTACCTAGGCTCAGGAGATACGAGCCAAGGGTGAGTTGTCAGTATCGATCGGTTACGATACCTGCCACTTGTTCCTCAGATAACCACCTGACGAATATCTTGGAACGCCCACACTCACGTGGGTGTACTACGAGTGAGTGCGATGGCCTCACTTTTGGTACGGTCGTTAGCACGACTGTACAAGAACACAATGTAGATGATCACTACATTGTGGAGAAAGCTCACCCAGATCCTGTGAAAGTGATTTCCCAAGATGTAATCGAGACACTGAATGTCTTGGTTAATGTTGGATCAAGCGTAGGCGCTTACACGCTTGATCTGGTTGCGCCTCCGAAGTTAACTTCGGAGATAACTCAACTGCCAACGCTAGAACCGAAACGATTATTGCGTGATCTGCGTAGTGGCAAAGTCAAGCAGATCTGCATACTCGTAACGGAGGACGAGTACGTTACCGATATTCGACCGGCAACGGTGTTTACTGAGACCGAACGGGTTCTCAGCAGTTCATCGATGGACTAAAGTGTCATCGACGAGAAGACTCGGATTGAGCGATACACGTCTCAATCCTGGGAGTCGATTCAGGCAAATCCTTTGTATAGGGATTTGATCGAATTCAAGGACGTGTTCCCTGAATCCGTGCCTTGCGAGTTGACTAAGTACAAAGGCACTCGACACGAGATCGAGCTCAAACCGGGCTCGAAGTACTGCGTCATGAAGCAGTGACCACTGCCTCGTGAACAAGTACTAGCGATCGACAAGTTATTTGTCAATCGCTTAGCAGCGGGCCATGTGAGGGAATCAACTTCCCCTCACAGCTCTCCGACCTTCTGTGTGCGAAAGGCCACAGGAGGATGGCGGATAGTGCACGTATTCAACAAGTTGAATGCTGCAACGGTTTCGGCTCAGAAGCCGATGCCAAGAAAAGACGTAATCATAGATGGTTATCGAAGAGTACCATCTTTTCGTCCATAAAATCTGATGGACGGATTCTATCAGATCCTCATGTGTGAACGGGACATCCCGTGCACAGCATTGAGCACCACCATCTGGTATGCTGTGGGAGTGGCTAGTGATGCCACAGGGGCTGAGTAATGCCCCTGCGACATTCAACAGATGCGTTACAGATATGTTGAGACCGGTGCGAGATTTCGCACCGAGTTACTTCGACGATGTGTTCGTCCATAGCCCGGATATGAACGGAAGGACGGACTTAGAAGTTCACAGAACTCACGTTCGTCAGGTTCTTCAACTTATGCGCAAGCATAAGTTGTATGCCAACCTCAAGAAGTGTATATTCGCGGCTAGCGAAATACCACTTCTTGGGTGCATCGTCGGCAAACACGGCGTACGCCCTGATCCCAAATAGATCAAGGCGATCACCGACTGGCGAGTACCAGTCGATGTCAAGGGACTTCGTAAGTTCCTTGGCTTAGCGTCGTACTTGCACAAGTACTCGCGCAATTACGCCGAGATGGCTGTTCTCCTTTCTAGCTTTCTCAAGAAAGATGTGTAGTGATCATGGAACGCTGACTGTCAGCGTATCTTTGAAAACATCAAGAAAAGCTTGATGAAATTGCTCATCTTGGCTATTGTAGATCAGGACAGACCTTTTCATGTGGTCTGCGACGTCAGCGATTTGGCAATCGGCTGTGCGTTAATGCAGTATGACACAGACGGCGCGGAGCGCGTCGTCTGCTATCAATCGCGTCAGCTGCAACCAGCTGAACGCAATTAACCAGTGCATGACAAGGAACACCTTGCCATGAAGTACGCACTGGCTAAGTTCCGGGTCTATCTGTTGGGAGATAGACCGTTTGTTGTCTATACGGACCATGCGTCACTACGCACGGCCGTAAACAGTCCACACCTCTCGAAAAGGATGGCGAGGTGGCTGTCCTTCTTCGCGGAGTATAACTTCTCCGTGGAGCACAAGCAAGGACGACTTAATGTCGTCGCTGATGCATTATTACGTCAGCCCGACTTCGAGCCGACGTCCCGAGTCAACAGTGAGGATAAGCCCAATGTTACGACACTGTCCATCAGTGTGCCGTCGTCGCCGTTACTCGACGACGTGCGGAAAGCATACGCAGGAGACACGAATCTCCTCCATTTGATGGGTCATCTTGCGAACCCATACCGGAAATCCTTGTAGGATTTGCCGACCCTGTAACTTTCCTCTTTGGATCGGTACACGACTCGCAATGGCCTGCTATACTATACAGCAGTTGCCGACGACACGCCGCGTGTTGTCGTTCCCGATCATGATGACTTGCGACTACGCATCATGTTCGAATGTCACGATGCGCCGTCTGGCGGGCATCGTGTCCGAGATAATTCTTACCTCACGGTCAGTCGTGACTTTTACTGGCCCCGCCACTATCAGTTTGTCCGCAAGTGCATTCGTTCTTGCGAGGTCTGTCAACGGGTGAAGCCTAGTCCTTCATCCCGTGCACCGTTACAACCTCTGCCGGTCCCGGTAGAGTGTTCGGAGTCCGTGTCCATGGACTTTGTCTTCGGGTTTCCCGTACATACTAACAAGAATAATGGTATTCTTGTGTTTGTGGATCGTTTCAGCAAGATGGTACATCTTGCTGCAGTCCCAGAATCGATCAACGACCACGGCTGTGCGCGTGTCTTAATCGAAACTGTGTTTCGACTCCACATTTTACCCCGTGAACTCGTATCCGACCGTGACTCTCGGTTCACGGCG